AAAAAGCATTTAAAAATTCATGAGTATAAAATAAAATATGCCTCAATAAAAATTGTGTGCATAACCAACTTATGTTTTAGAACAGAACTTTACCTCTAAATGCACCTCCAAACCAGAAAACTCTAATTAAAGAAAATATTCCCCAAAGTAATGATAAATATAGTTTCTCAATTTTTGAACTGATGAGCATTAACAGTGTGTCTAATACCATGCTTTTAGTTCATTGTTTACGTCTGTTGGTGAATCTTCAGATCTGTGGTTCCCGTGATGGTAGGTGCAGTGTAAAAAACAACTCATATGGGGCCAGCCCTGCACCCTAGTGGTTGGAGGATCCGGATCCCATCTGGCTGGCCATGGTTCGAGTCCCTAGAGGCTTGAAGAACATGATAGGTATATGTGCATGCATGCCTAAAATCCCAACAGGATAGTGAAATGGAAGAGAAGGGATTGTGGCATGATCATGCCCCATTGGGAGTGCTTTATCCTTCTCTCTGTCTCTCTCCAATAAGGACGTATACCGTGTCAATTAAAAAAACGAAAAAGAGAAAAGAAAGATAATTCATGTGGCCTATGACATGGCACTAGAGCTATGTTAAGGATTATTATTTTGCATATGACTAGGATTTCTCAACAGGATGGCTGTTGGCTTTTTGTTGTGTGGGACTTTAAAATTGCATGACATTAAACAGCCCTGGCTCTGCAGAATTCCAATATAATTAGTACATCCAAAATGGCTTCTCTTAAATATCATGTGGTTCACACAACCCCAGCTTGAAATCCACTGGGACAGAGTAGGGATCAGCAAATTTTTTCTGTAAAGAGCCAGATAATATTTTCAGCTTAATGGGTCATACCATTTCTGTTACATCTGCTCAGTTCTGCTGTAGTAACATAAAAGCATCCACAGACAATATGAAAAAGAGTAGCTGTAGTTCACCCGTTGTAGGTATTATATAGTAGGGCACCCCTGTACAATGCTGGAGACCATGTGGAAAAGCTCCAGGTTTCCATCTGGGTCTACTTCAACAGGCCAGCTTGTGCCTACAGGTATGCTTGTGATCCTGGCTGGCTGCCAGGCTGGGAACTTGGAGGAAGACTGTGGCGTAAAAGTCTTGTCAAGGGTGTCTGTTTTTCTTTTTCAAAATGAATAAATAAACTTTAAAAAAGAGAAAATGAAGAAGAGTAGCTGTGTTCCAATTGATTTATTTTAAATTTTTTTAAATTAAAAATTTGACATAGGGCACATATGCTCACCAGAGAGAGAGACAGAGAAACTGTGAGAAAGAAAGTGAGAAGTCACCCTCCAGGGACGATGACCATGCCACAGCCCCTTCTCCATTCTCCTCTTGGGATTTTGGTATGTGCCCACATGTGCCTGGTGTGATTTTTCAAGCCACCTGGTCCAGGACTCAAACTACAGTTGGCCATATGGGAGTCCACTGCCTTAACCATCATGCCATCTGCTGGCTCCTAAAACTTTACTTTCAAAATCAGGTGCTGCACAGGTTTAGATTGTGGGCTGAAGTTTGCCCATCCCTTCCTATGTGCTGCAAGTCCACCAATTTGGACACAGGAATTCTTTTTGAAAAATAACTAGTAGGATTATGTAAGTTAGGAGTTTTGGACTGCAAATTATATGAAGTTATATCTACGAAAGATAGGGTAGTTTCAGTTTGGGCTGATCAAATCTATTATTTTCATAAGAAGCCAAAATACATTCCATCTTTCTACTTGGATATCCTCAACAGTTGCCATTATCTTCTCGTTGTCACCGGCAGATGTAACAGTGCCACACCCAATTATAATAGTACGCAGGGAAGAATAGCATGTCTGTCTACTCTAGAAACACCTTTCCCAAAGTCTTCAGCTGACTTGTCTCCGATCTCATTGAACTAAGAAGTGGAAAAGGAGAAAGAGTCCTCACGTTTGGTTCAAAATTTTTCTTGGGCTGGAAAGAGAATCAGCCTTAACCCAAACTTATGGATACCCAGTACTTGAATGAATGGTGATTATTTATAAGGAAGAGCAGGGGGCTTTGATGAGAGAGTAAAGGATCAAGAGGTCTGTGAGACATAGTATTTTTCATGTTAATTTTATTGTGCTTTACATGTAACACTGCTTCCATGTTATTTGAGTCTGTTCCTTTCTCTAGTTTCCAAACTAGTCAAAGGGAGCATTTCATTCATGCCCGTCTTTAGTCAGAGGAGAGGGAGGCGTCCTGGGACCACATTCTGCCCATTGCTTACAGGTAATCTCTCTCTACTTTGAAGAACCAGTGCCGAGCCTGTGACCTCCTGGTATGAGGCCAGTAATACCAATGTATGAAAGACAGTATTTAAACTACAAATATTACTTGGTAATTTTTTTCCTTAGGTTTTGGCCATAGGGCATGGGTGGTCACTGGAGAGAGACAGAGACGGAGAGAGAGAAAATGAGAAATTACCTTCTGGGGTGATGGCCACATTGCAATCCCTTCTCATCCGATCTCCTCCTGAGATTTTTGGGTACACATGCACACGTACCCAGTGTGATTTTCAAGCTGTCAGGTCCAGGACTTGAACTTTGATCAGGAGTGTGGGAATTTAATATCATAACTACCATTCTACCTGCTAGACTTTATTTGGTAGTTTTCTTTCTCTTTTTTGAGAGATTTTTGCTGAAGGGCGCATATGCTCACCAAAAAGACAGAGAGCGACGGAGAGACAGAAAGCGAGAAATCACTCCCCGAGGGGGATGACCATGCCGCAATCCCTTCTCCTCCATTTTCCTCTCGGTATCTTGAGCACACACGCACATGCGCCCAACATGAGTTTAAGCCATTGGGTCAGGGACTCAGACTGCAGTCGACTACATGGGCATCCAGCGACGTAGTCGTTATGCCAACTGCTGGTCCTGGATTTTGTAATTTTTAAGAAAACTCTGAAATAAGCCACAGATAAATGTAATTAGCAGGTCATCTGGTTTGTATTATATGAATTGAAAATAATTTGTTCAAGCATGGTCTCACTGAAATGCAATAATTATTTCAGCGCTAACAGGTCTATAGAAGATCGGCTAGTTTTCTCAAGCTTGTAAAGTCACTGCCTGTAATTTCAGATGAAGCAGGTGATCTGTCAGAATCATGAGGGTGACTGCACAGTAAAGATGTAACTAGAAACAGGTTTTCCACATTGCATCCCCCCTGCAGCGAACTGCTTGCTCAGAAGACCTTAGCTTTGGGAGTGGGGATGGCTCTGATTTGAGTTGTAATTTTTTTCCCCAGAACTCTTCCTGAGTTTGAGCCCTTGAAACTGCCCATGTTGCTGTTGAAAAGAACATGGCAGTGACTTTTGAAGAGTGACACTGTAATATTTTGTGGTTCAGAAGACCTTGATTTGTATCTCCCTCACATGAATTTACAATAGTTTGGAAAATGGCCACTTCTTTTATACTAATCACTTACTTCTGTGTTTATTCCAACATTAAATTCACAGTCCTGTCCTCAAGGATTTCCACATTCTGCAGTGAAAGATGCAGCTGAATGAACAATTGAAATAGTGTGTACTGGTTTGCATCCCTGGCCCAGTCACCTCATGCGTCCTAAGCGTGTATCACAGTATGACCAGAGTCTGTGGAGGGTCTTCCTCCCTCTCCCTCTCACTCCCCTTTTTCTCACATGTGTGTGCATCTACTCTGTCATGAATACAGAAAAAAAAAGTGTGATTTATTTATGGCACACTAGAGGGAAGCAGAAGGGGCTTTGAGAACAGTCTGCATCTGAGCAGGTCAGAAAATGTTGCGTGAATTAAGTCTGAAAGAATAACTGAGAAAAAGTCAATTAAAGAAAGCAGAAGTGAAGCCCTCACAGAAGGAGAGACTAAACAAAAAATGCCTAGAGAGCCGGCAGTTTCTTAAGTCTGGAGTTTATACAGATTTAAGATGCGGTGTGGTTGAGCATTGAGTAATGAGTCTGCCCTGGAGGACAGTTCATTCAAATGAACTTTATCCTGGGCAGTTGGGGTCCTCGGAGCCTTTTTAACAGGAAAGTGTCATGATATAACTTACATGCTGGGAAAACCACCATGGCTGCAGAATAGAGGAGGAACGGGGTTGGAGGGACGGAAGGCAGCACGACCCACCAAATTGCTATTTCAATATTCTGAGGAAGAAATGGGAAGAGCTTTGATTACGGCAGCGGAGAAGAAGAAATAAATGAAGCAATGATTGTGAAATATGTGGAGATAGAATCTATTAGATTTCATGAGCTTTTTACTGTGGGAGGTAAAGAAAGAAAAGGAATAAAAGACTCCTGCAGTTCTGATGAGGTTTGACAAATGGTTTTTCTATTCATTGACACTTGACTATAGGAGTTGGATCAATGTTGGGAGAAAGATGAGTTTGCCTTGAGACAAGTGGATTTTGAAGTGCTTCAAAACCTAGTAAATGGCTGTGTATAACAGGAGGCTGGAACCCAGGCAGTTCTGAGCTGGAGACATAAATTTGAGAGTTTTCCACATGAAGTGACACTGACAGGAAAGATACCACTCAGTGTTTGTATAGAGAGCAGAGAGACAGGACAGTTAAGAATCTTCAGGGTAGAAATGCACAGGTCATAGGCAGAGGAAAAGAGGCCACAAAGAGTACTTAAAATAAGATTCTGAGAGGGTAGAGGAAGACTAGGAGAGTGAAGTTCTTAAAACAAAGGAAAGGACCGCATTGTCATTCAAGCTGCTGCGAGGTCAAATAAGAACTGAAAAGGGGCCATAGGATATTGTAAGATAATATATTTATTATTATTTTTTATTTAGGTAAGGAATGTGTGATCTTTGCATAAGATACGCATACACGTAGAGTGGAAATACATTTATTTAAGTATTATTTAAGAATCACTATAAATCTCACCACCTAGCATTAATCACTGTTCAAATTTTGATATATATCTTTCCAGCCTGTTTCTATATGCAAATATATTCTCCATATCTGGGTATATGTCTATATATAACAAAATGAGTTCATACTTTAAAAATATGGGATGGTGTATGAATTTTCTTGTCATCCTTATCCAGAGACCATGATCATCTTTGCATCTTTCTAATTTTAGTATATAAGCTGACAGATCGTTTGGTGTCCATTGAATTAAGCAATAAGGAGATGGCTTGTAAGATTCTAAGGCTAATTTCAGTGGAATGGCAAGGGCAGAAGCCAGATTGTTGTGGGATGGAGAATGAGTAGGTAGTGAGGAAACGGAACAGGCATTATAGACTACCCTTTCAAGAAGCTAGGCTGTGAGGAAAAGGGAAATATGGAATGTCAAAAGGGAGCAGGATGGAGAGGGATTTATTTCTGTATTTTAGTTTTTTAGTTGGATAGGACTTCCTACTGACTGGAAAGAGCTTGGAAGGGATTGGGGATACAGAGGAGAGGGCATGAGGGCATGATTGATAGAATAAGGCCCTAGGAGTCAAGCAGGAGTAGGGTGTAAGAGAGAAGAAACAAACCCTATTGTCCAATAAGGCAGCTGGGAAGGAGGTAAGGGTGGGAACAAATGCTGGTAAATTTGCAGATGTGTCAACTGAGGTGATTCTTGTCACCTCAAAATGAAGATGGCTGATACCCAAGTGAATTGAGTTATTTGATGAAGAGTTTTGGAAGTAACATGAAACAAGGGCTGCCATCTTAGATTAGAGCCATTATGTGTTCACTTGCTTCCTGTAAGTGGTACCCAGAGATGGATTAGAAAGATGTCAGAAAGGTCTGGTCTTCTCCAACGAAGGGCAAGGTCAGAACTGATCTCCAGGTGTTAAGTATCAGAAAAATCATGAAGCATTTTTCTATGCAAAAACTGATGACCCAATACTTTAGTTACTTTAAATAATATATTAAAGATTTATCATCTACATATTTTTATGAAGCTTTATGAAGCTGTGTTTTTCTTTTTTTTTCTTAGCCTATTCTTCCCCTGAGAATTACTACTTGTGAAGTATTGAAAATGTTTTGCGGTATTATAAGTTGGAAAAATCATGGATTTGGAACAGATTTGATTGATTTCATTAACATGGAAAAACGACACAATGTTCTTGAGCTTTAGTTCCCTTATTTGTAAAATTGGGGTACTATTAGGTTGTTGGAAAAGTCACGATGCATTTTTACATAGAAAAACATAGGAAAAAATAGGTCATGACTTTTCCAATGACCCTATACATCTTCTTGACCTCACAACAAGGTGAAGATGGTATAAAGTAATATATGTAAAGTCCCTGAGCAGTAACTGCACTGCGTGAGCATGTGGCATGTGTTGGAGCCCCCCCCCCCATTATGCTCGTGTA